TGCAGAGAGTCATCTGAACTGCCTAGAAATGTCTTTAATCTTGACCATTTTCAAACAGATTTCCATGGTGAACAATTTTCTGAGAAATTCTTATAATGCAGAGTCTGTTCAGAGGATGCTGATTTAAAAACTTCTGTACACAGAGCATAATGAAGGGTGGAAGAAAAGTGAACAGCTTCATGTAACTTAATAAAAAGGAAGAAAATTAAACAGGAAACGAAAGACTATCCAGGCTGAAAGGATGTAGCATGCTATGATGCAGAATAAATGAAATGTAACTCTTCCAGGTCTAACGCAGACCAGTGCAAACACGGCAAGATATGCTCCCTTCAGTAAAAAAGAATGCGTTTAGTACATACTTACCATAATCACAGGCAAGGGACTTTCACATCTTTCTCCCAGGATTTACATTCTACAATTTCCCATCAACTTTTGTTCTCTTTCCCATTGCCATGGAGTCAATTCTGACTCATAGCAACTCTACAGGACAGAGTAGAGCTGCCCCATAGGGTTTTCAAGGAGCAGCTGATGGATTTGAACTGCTGACTTTTTGGCTAGCAGCTGAGCTCTTAACCAGTGCGCCACCAGGGCTCCCCAGGGCTCTTAGAACTATAAAAAATTCCTATCACTCATGAGCTGGTAAGAGTGCTATGTAGTTAATGCCTATCAATACTAACAGAGGAGCCCTGGTGGCTCAGTAGTTCAGCACTCAACTGCTAATGGAAAGGCGGGTGGTTTAAACCCACAGGCTGCTCCTCTGGAGAAAGCTGTAGCAGTCTGCTTTCGTAAAGATTACAGACTTGGAAACCCTATAGGGTCGGTATGGGTCGGAACCAACTCCATGACAACTTCATTGTCTCTATGCTTACTTCTATAACGCCGTGGGTTTGCAAAGCCACTTATCCTACCACCTCTGGAATTTGAATTAACTCAGTCCAGCTGAGTTTTCTTTGGTCTAAAACTTAGGCCCCTTCTATCATTATAGACGTTAGCTCCAGGTAGAGATCACGGATAGTTTACGGCTGTTGTTATTGTTGTTAACTGCTGTTGAGTCAGCCCCCGACTGATAGCGACCCCATGTGTTGCAGAGTAGAACTGCTCCATAGAGTTTTCTTGGCTATAATCTTTACAGAAGCAGTTCGCCAGGACTTTCTTCCTTGGAGCTGCTGGGTGGGTTCAGATCACCAATCTTTAAGTTAAGCAGCCAATCAAAAACTGCTCGTGCCACCTAAGCTCCTAGTTTATGATACTGGGCACTATTCCAGAATGATCCATCCCAAACCATAGATTAACATACTGAACCTATCATAAGGAATTCCAACACATGCCTTTCAGACGGGAATTAGTATTGTAACCCAGCTTAACAATGTCGTCTAAACATATTTTAAGATATATTCTTACTTCCCCCCCACTCACTTTGATTTTAACTTCTTATGAACTGCTTTCACAACCTTTAATCATCAGATTAGAGTTGGTTAGCTTGCCAATAAACTTCATGCTTTGTGTTCACATATGTGGTATAATGGTTTGGAAATCAGCATGGAGGAGGGGAGATAGCACGACATTTAAAGTAAAATAGCCCAAGTGTGAGGCTTGGTTCTGCTGCTCACTAACAGTGTGACCTTGTGAAAGTTACTTCACCTCTCTAAGCTAATGGTTTTATTCATCTGCTAGCGAGTGCTGATACAGACAGAAGCTGATCCAGGTTTGGAAGCTTATACAATTTTGGGAAGCTTATATATTTTCGTAAAAAGCTCTTTACAAAAAAGAATATAAAATTATGTATAAAAGAGGCTATTTCAAATGAGAAAAGTAATCACAAGTTACATATTTTTTAAAAGCTGACAAACAATAAGCATTACAAAATCCAGAAAAATGTCACAATATTTTTAATTAACTGCCTGACTCATCTCTGTAATACTTTTGTTCCTATATTTTTTGGCTGCTTACCCTTTGATTGATATGATTTTATACTGTCATTTTCTACAGAGAGACTAGAAAGACAATTCAGTCTTTCCTGTAAAACAGTTAATGGAAACTTTTTTATTATTAATGGTTGGGATGGAAAAATCGTGACTTTACACACTGAGAAGCTCACTGTTTGTTGTACTATTACAAACTTGTGTCCTATGAGCACAGAAATTCTGATAATTCTGTTTTGTGTGATCCCC